CCGGTGGTTTTCCAGGGCCCTGACTCACTGGCCGTCCTCGGCCTCGCCCGCGGGGTGGCCGGGAAGCCCGGCCAGATGACCTACGACCGCGCTTAAGGTGACATTCCTCTCTGCCTGGCTCAGGAGCCCCTTCCCCGCCCCTTCCCTCGGCATATATGCCGCCGCCGCCGCCGAGGGCCCGCGATCATTCTACAGGTGGCGGACGGCTGCGCTGCAGGCGCACCGACAAACCTTCCACCTTAGCTCCTGACGGCGGGAGAAAGGGGCAGCTGCCTCTTTAAGACGCTTGGCGCTTCTCACAGCGCCCGAGCCCGACGCCGGACGAAAGTATCGCGAGAATTAAAGTCCCTCCGGCAACCTCTCGCGATGTTTGGGCCCTCCAAGGGTGGCCATTTTGGAGTCCGGCCCCCGGCTGGGAGCCCGGCCTGCGTTTCCCATCCTGTTGCAGGCGCCAAAGCTGGCCTCACCGGCGTCTGGGCTGCGGGCAGCCGGACCGACACTATGTGGCGGCTCCGCTGCAAGGCCAAGGATAGCACCCATGTTTTGCAGGGGCTGTCCAGCCGAACCCGGCTGCGGGAACTCCAGGGCCAAATTGCAGCTATCACCGGGATCGCTCCCGGCGGCCAGCGTATCCTCGTCGGATTCCCGCCCGAGTGCCTGGATCTTAGCAACGAGGAGACCATCCTGGGGGACCTACCCATCCAATCAGGTAAGGGAAGCGGGCCGGGGTCTGGGGCGTCCTGGGAGGCGGTGGAGGGGCGAACAGAGACCCGGTCCGGGCCAGGTGGCTGTGGGTCAGGTGGGCGCTTTGGGAACCGGGGGAGTTGGACGGAGCACTGACACAGGCCATGCCAGTGTCTAGCAACTCCTTGTTCTTCGGCAAGGTGGACAGAAAGTCTCAAGGCCTCGGAGACTCCTTTCCCCAACTGGATTTCAGATCGAACGTAAAACTGTCTTATTCATTTTGTTTTCACTGCATACCAAAAGTACGAGAATGTAGGACCTAATTTTTTCTGCCCCGGTGGTCTTTTATCATTGAACAGCAGATATGATGGGTGCAGGACATTTTTTGTTTCTTTTCTTGATTTCGAATTTGTAGGACCCTTCTTTCTTAAGTACTTAGTTTGTCTGGTATATTTATTTTCGAGTTAGCTTTTAAACATTCACTACAAGTTCTTTCAAGTCCTAGTCAACAGCAGTTATTTCTGCCCGGTACTAGAACTTGAACATGGAGGTAGTAATGAAAGCTTTCTGTTGTTGGGGCAAGGACCCCGTAAACACTACATTGGTTAGACATGTTAAGTTTCAGGAGGAGGAGAACCCCCTAGTGGCCTACTCTATGGTGAACACCTTCTGGAAGATTTGTTCTTTTACATGCAGAGGGATACGTAAATTTGGTTTTTGAAATGTGTTATGTTCAGTATATGAAACTCTGTGCCCAAGGCCCCTGACTAAATTGGGAAGCAGCCTGTTCTATTCTTTGTTCTGTTTTCATCTCTAGGAAGATTCAGGGAACAAAAAAATGTCATTGGTCACTTGTTTACAAAGTTGTATTCTCCTCGGTGACCCCACTTTATGCTGTAACTCTTTCGCGTTATAGTTTATGAATTTGGCTAGTGAACTCCTAATTTCATCTATCATTTCTTTGCAGTTCTGGATTTGTTTTATTTTTAACAGGCGACATGCTGATCGTAGAAGAAGACCAAACCAGACCCCAAACTTCACCTGCATTTACAAATCATGGTGCTCCTAGTTCTGTCAGGGAACCTTTGCCTGTGCTTACCAGAACCACGGTCCCAGCAGACAACTCTTGCCTCTTTACCAGTGTGTACTATGTCGTTGAAGGTGGAGTATTGAATCCAGCTTGTGCCCCGGAGATGAGACGCCTCATAGCACAGATTGTAGCAAGTGATCCAGACTTCTATAGTGAGGCAATACTGGGAAAAACAAATCAAGAGTACTGTGACTGGATCAAAAGGGATGATACTTGGGGGGGAGCAATTGAGATATCAATTTTGTCTAAGTTTTATCAGTGTGAGATATGTGTGGTAGATACACAGACAGTAAGAATTGATCGTTTTGGGGAAGATGCGGGATATTCCAAAAGGGTTTTGCTTATCTATGATGGCATCCACTATGATCCACTTCAGCGTAACTTTCCTGATCCCGATACCCCTCCGCTGACCATTTTCTCGTCTAACGATGATATCGTTCTTGTACAAGCACTGGAATTAGCGGATGAAGCAAGAAGAAAGAGACAGTTTACTGATGTAAACCGCTTCACCCTGAGATGCATGGTGTGTCAGAAGGGATTGACTGGACAAGAAGAAGCGAGGGAGCACGCCAAGGAGACGGGCCACACTAGCTTTGGAGAAGTGTGATCTATGCATGCTGAGGGTTGAAGCCTACTACCTCACAGATCCAGAAGGCTCTGGGTTTCCCAATAAGCTATTCGTAACCCTAAAAAACAAAAGGACACAATGCTTGAACCATTCTTTTGACTTAAACCACTAAGATACCGAAATTCCTTGTTAAGATTAAAATTAGTGTGCAAGTTTACAGATGTGTATCTCCAGTGGCGATACATGCCATCTTTCTGCTGGGGGGGTGACAATACGAGGTCCTTGTCACCTGACACTAACTTGAAGATTGGATTTTAGTGTTATAAACTAGTACCCGGCAGCTTTGACTTGTAGAAGAAAACATTTTGGGTAATGTGGAAGGCTGCCTGTGAAGCCACTGGACACGTACCGCAGTGTCTCCAGTAATTGATTCCTTTTAATAGCGTTGAATGAGTCAGTAGCTTCTAAATGAACCGATTCATCAAATGATACCTGGAACTGTCACACTGATTTTATATTGCAATTTGGTAGACTTTATAAGTGTGTACTTAACCACATTTAAGTGCACAGCAAGCAGTTTTTACAGGAATGTGTTCCTCAGAATTTTATCTGAAACAGGATTCCAGAGGTACTGTTTAAGACGATAGTACACAAGCAGAATGTACAAGGAAAAGGTGCCTGAAGCAGCTTACTGAAGCTTTAAAAGACTGCTGGGCCTCACGTTTAATGCAGTTCATGTGTTGGTCTTTGTCACGTTGGATACACTTTTTAAATTAATCAGGGTATGCTTTTTTTAATTGACATTGCTTGACATTTGAGAGCTCAGTTTTTGCTTTTTTGCATACAGATTTTTCTGGGGGGATTTAATTTCCCCAGCTTTGTGTTAAGAGTACTTCCTTCAGAAACAGTCTTTGTGTTAAAGTGATTTTGCTTTGGTTTTTATAAGCACTTTTGCATCCTTAAACAGTGTTCGTTTTTCTGCTGGCTGTATTGCGCTCCTGATGCTGTTTTGAACATTCCACATTTCTGCAAGTGAGCACTTTGCTTCCCTGCGATCTCTGGCTTTTGAGCAGTTTTAAAGTCATTGATGTCATTTGTTTCACTTCCAAAATACGAAAGCTTTTAAATCCTTGCCTTACTCAGCTTTCTCAGAATTCCACTTCCTACTTCAGAGTGTAGCCACTGCTTAGTGGACTGATCCTCAAGGCACCCTCTAAAGCTTAGCTTCATGACGAGATCTTCCAGATAAAGTGTTCTACCTCTTACTTCCTCTGAAGATCAGGGACGCTAAATTGTCATTTGTTACGTATTATCGCAACACAATGTGAAGAGTCTTAAGTTTGTGAAGTTTTGTTATCTTGATCTCATTTCTGATTAAGTGTCTTGCTTAGAAAACCACTGGTTTACTTTAAAGCACTCTGGCTTCATGGATCGGCTTGGCAAATGTAAGATTGAGATTGTTGTGTTGGTGGAGGCTGTCATGTAAAACTAAGGAATATTACAGTGAACAATGCAGGAGAAAGTACGCCTCAGATCATCGAATGACAAGCCGGGTGTGGTGGCGCACGCCTGTAATCCCAGGCAGGAGGATCGCTGCGAGTTCAAGACCAGCCTGGGCTAAATAGTGAGTCCCAGGTCAGTCTCAACTATATAGTGAGACCCTGTCTCAAAAAAA